CTGGTAAGCAGCTTGAACATGGAAGGACTCTTGCTGATTATAACATTCATAAAGAGTCTACTCTTCACCTTGACCTACGTCTTAAGGGAGGGATGCAAATTTTTGTGAAGACTCTCACTGGAAAGACCATTACTTTGGAATTTGAAAGTTCTGATACCATTGATAATGTTAAGGCCAAAATTCAAGACAAGGAGGGAATCCCACCGGACCAACAAAGGTTAATATTTGCTGGTAAGCAACTTGAAGATGGAAGAACTCTTGCTGACTACAACATCCAGAAAGAGTCAACCCTACACTTGGTGCTTCGACTCCGTGGTGGTATGCAAATTTTCGTTAAGACTCTTACTGGGAAAACCATCACTTTGGAAGTTGAGAGTTCTGATACTATTGACAATGTCAAGGCAAAAATCCAGGACAAGGAGGGTATCCCACCAGACCAACAAAGGCTCATATTTGCTGGTAAGCAGCTTGAGGATGGAAGAACCCTTGCAGACTATAATATCCAAAAGGAATCTACACTCCACTTGGTGCTCCGTCTTCGTGGTGGCATGCAGATTTTTGTTAAGACTTTGACAGGAAAGACTATCACTTTGGAGGTGGAAAGTTCTGACACCATTGATAACGTAAAGGCAAAAATCCAAGACAAGGAGGGAATCCCACCCGACCAGCAGAGGTTGATCTTTGCTGGGAAGCAGCTAGAGGATGGGAGGACCTTGGCAGACTACAACATTCAAAAGGAATCAACTCTGCACCTTGTCCTTCGTCTTCGTGGTGGATTCTAAGTGTGATGAGATAATGCTATATATCTAACTGGTTGTCTTTGGTGTCCTTATACTTCTGTTATGTCGTACTCTTTAGCCATTTTAATGAATGGCTTAGATACTATCAAGTGCTATTGTATTGTCATCCCAAGATGTTGATTTGTTATGTTTGGAGACTTTAAAAGTCTCTCTGTTGCAAGCAAAATAGTTATTTGAATAAATATTTATTTACAATATCTTTTATTCTCTTCCATTTCTTTTCTCTTTTTTTAATCTTTTTATAGTATGCTATGTCATATTGGCATCCATTGCTTTTAGCTCTCTTTGGTTGTCAAATTTCATTGGATGATTTGAAGTTTAGGTTCAAGTTGCTGGTCGTATAGACAATCAAGTTCATTGTAGGGATCAGAGCAATGCAGTTCACTGTAGTATCTGCATTTGAGATCTTTCTTTTAATTCAGGAGAAAAAAGTTTTGTGCTATTGGAGAATCGAATGGAGTTTAGGTTCAAGTAATTAAGAAAAGGTTTTGTGGTTAGATCCATTGAACTGAGAATTCATAAAGTAATTAGGAATTCAATTCCAATAGTCTATGTCGTACAAGCGCTTGTCGTACATGTTTAACGTTTTACTTGTACACCTTGTTTTTCATTTCTTTTATTTTTTTTTTCTTTTACTTCATAAATTGGAGGCTGAAATTGTAATTAATTTTTTAATTAATAATATATGTTTAGATAGAAAATATTTATTTATATCTTGCATCTGTGTGTGTGTGTGTGTGTCAGTTTTTTTTTTTGAAATAAATTCTTAAAATATTAAATATATAAATAAAATAATTTAAATGACTAAATTAATTGCTTCAAAACAAAAAGTCAAAAGTTTATCTTTTAATTTCAAAAATAAATCAAATATATATACTCTAGAAATGATTTGTGGTGGATCCGGTGTGTACGCTTCTATTTTTATAAAAATCACAAAATATCTCATCAAAACAATTGTAAAATAACTTTGCCTCTTATATTAATTTTTTTAACATATATGCATAAATATATATTTATGCAAAAGAGAGAATGAATTATGTTTTTGCGGTTAGATCCATGGAACTAAAAATTCATAAAATAATTAAAGAATCCAATTCTGCGGGTATACATATATTAATAATTGAGGTAACTTTACGACAGTTATATTTTTTAAATAAAAATTTTAAAATATTAAATATATAAATAAAATAATTACTTCAAAACAAAAACAAAATTTTATTTTTTAATTTCAAATAAACCAAAACAATATTATATATATTCTAGCAATAATTGTGGTAACTGTAACGCCTCTATTTATATAAAAACTATAACATTCTTCATCAAAACAATTATGAAATCATCCCTTTTTATATTAATTTTTTAACATATATATTTATATATTCATGTAAAAGGGAAGTATGACTTGCCTTTGGTTTTTATGATTTTCCGTCACCTTTATAAAATATGAATCCCCTGAAAATGGAAAATGATTTAAAAGAAAAAACGGGGATAAGAAATAAAACTCGAAAACACTAAAACGCACCGTTTTTGTAAAGTCAATACGCTGCCGTTGCGTTTGCGTTTGCGTTTGCGCTTGCGCTTGCGCTTGCGTTAGGTGTCACGAGAAGAATCTGGAGGAAGGAAAGAACCCAATCTTGACGTGTAGAAATCATCAAGAAAAGCCCATTGACGCGTGGCGAAATATTATTGGACATTTCTTTTAGATTTTTCTTAATCACTAAGGCTCTAGTTTCGCTATATAAACAGCGCTCGACCCCTCGACCTTTCATATTCGCAAAGCAAAAACTGGTAATCATCGATCTACCTTCGAAATCTCTTTCTCCGATTCTCAACTCAAGGTAAGTCCTGAATCTGCTTTCTGGATTTTCTTGTTGCTTGCTTAGATCTGCTTCTCTTTCGCTCATACGAGAATTTTGTTATAACTGTTGAGCAGATCCCTTTTCAATTTTAATATTATGCAGTGATTTTTCTTTCATTTTCGTTATCAATCTGTGCTTTTATGTTGATCAACGGTGTTCTATTAACCAAAATTTCATTTGTAAACATCTGTCGTTAATTGGTTTTCATATTGTAATACACGTACCTCGATTAGGGTTTCCTTCGTATGGATTATGGTTTCCTTTGTATAGATTAGGGCTTCTTGATTTACGGGGTATAGATGACGGGTTTCTTTAATTATTGTCATTAATCTGTGCTTTTTTGTTGATTTACGGTGTTCTATTAAACAAAATTTCATTTGTAAACATCTTTTGTTGATTGGTTCTTATTTTGTAATACACGTACCTTTATTAGGGTTTCTTTTATATGGATTACGGTTTCTTTTGTATAGATTATGTCTTCTTGATTTACGGTGTATAGATCACGGGTTTCACTAATCTAAGCTTTTATGTTGATTTACAGTGTTCTATTAGCCAAAATTTCGTTTGTAAACATTTTTGTTCATTGGTTTTTAAACTGTAATACACGTGCCTTGATTAGGGTTTCTTTTGTATGGATTGAGGTTTCTTTTGTATCGATTAGGGCTTCTTGATTAATGATTTTATAAATTACGGGTTTCTTTCATTATCGTCACTAATCTGTTCTTTTATGTTGATTTACAGTTTTCTATTAACCAAAATTTCATTTGCAAAGATCTTTTGTTGATTGGTTCTTATATTGTAATAGACATACCTTAATTAGGATTCCTTCTGTATGGATTAGGTCTTCTGTATAGATTAGGGCTTCTTGATTTGTTTGAAGTTTTAGGTTATACTTTTCCCTTAATTGGTATCTACTGTTATCTTCATAAGTGAAAGAACAACGATTTGTTTGAACTCCTTTTTTCATTTTTCCTTGTTGCCTTTTCTTGGGATATCAAAGTTTGTCCTTTGTTATAATTTATGGTCTAAAACATGATCTATAATTATATTGTTCAATTTTTTATGATGAATATGTTCCTTATTACCCCCAGGTTGAAAGTTTTGGTATTTTGAAATTTTGGATGTTTGACGGGTATTGTGAATTAGGGCCTAATCTTCTAACTTGCTCAACAGATGCAAATCTTTGTGAAAACACTTACTGGCAAGACCGTCACCCTCGAGGTTGAGAGCTCTGACACTATTGATAATGTCAAGGCTAAGATTCAGGATAAGGAGGGAATCCCTCCAGACCAGCAGAGATTGATTTTTGCTGGCAAACAGCTTGAGGATGGCCGCACTCTGGCTGACTACAACATCCAAAAGGAGTCAACCCTCCACTTGGTTCTCCGTCTGAGGGGTGGCATGCAGATTTTCGTGAAAACCCTGACCGGTAAAACTATCACATTGGAAGTTGAAAGTTCTGACACAATTGACAATGTCAAAGCAAAGATTCAGGACAAGGAAGGTATTCCACCAGATCAGCAAAGGTTGATATTTGCTGGCAAACAGCTTGAAGATGGTCGCACTCTTGCAGATTACAATATTCAGAAGGAGTCCACCCTTCACCTGGTTCTTCGTCTTAGGGGTGGTATGCAAATCTTTGTGAAAACCCTCACTGGGAAAACCATCACACTGGAAGTGGAGAGTTCTGACACAATTGATAATGTTAAAGCCAAGATTCAGGACAAGGAGGGAATCCCCCCTGATCAGCAGAGGTTGATATTTGCGGGCAAACAGCTAGAAGATGGCAGGACCTTGCTGACTACAACATTCAGAAGGAGTCTACTCTTCACTTGGTGCTTCGCCTTCGTGGTGGTATGCAGATATTTGTTAAGACTCTGACAGGGAAGACTATAACCTTGGAGGTCGAGAGTTCTGATACAATTGACAATGTAAAAGCCAAGATCCAAGATAAGGAAGGAATCCCACCAGATCAGCAGAGGCTTATCTTTGCAGGAAAACAGCTTGAAGATGGTCGTACCCTTGCAGACTACAACATCCAAAAGGAATCCACCCTCCACTTGGTACTTAGACTTCGGGGAGGTATGCAGATTTTTGTGAAGACTCTTACTGGGAAGACAATCACCTTGGAAGTTGAAAGTTCAGATACCATTGACAATGTCAAGACTAAAATCCAAGACAAGGAAGGGATTCCACCAGACCAACAGAGGCTGATTTTTGCTGGTAAGCAGTTGGAGGATGGGAGGACCTTAGCTGATTACAACATTCAGAAGGAGTCAACTCTCCATTTGGTGCTTCGATTGCGTGGTGGAATGCAGATATTTGTGAAGACGCTGACAGGAAAAACCATTACTCTCGAGGTTGAGAGTTCTGATACAATTGATAATGTCAAAGCTAAGATCCAAGACAAAGAGGGTATTCCTCCTGATCAGCAGAGGTTGATCTTTGCAGGTAAGCAGCTGGAGGATGGACGTACCCTGGCAGATTACAACATCCAGAAGGAGTCCACCCTGCATCTTGTCCTCCGACTTCGTGGTGGTTTTTAAACTGTTGTCCTTCTATATGAATGCCTAGCTATTGGTAATGGCTCCAATAAGTATCTTTACAAATGTCTTTACTGTGCTTGGTTACATGACTTTAAGGTCATTGATTTGAACAATATTTTCGGACTTATGAATGTGATATTGGTATGTCCTGTTTGCTATTATCCATCTGATCTGAGTATATAGTCTCTTGAATGTAATTCTATATTTCCTTATGTGCTATTCTTACTCAATGTCAGTAGTTCCGGTCATTATAGTAGTATATGACTGGATTCGTTGACTAAGGTTGGATGTGATTCGAGGAGACTGGGATTTTTGATATTTGACATTAGGTTTCTTGCTTGAACAGAGCATCTCTATATAAATAGGATATTAAACAATAGTTATGCTGAGGGGAATAGATATAGCATCCGGGTTTATGTTCTTTTGTTTTTTCGTTGATGAATGGACAAAGCCCCCTCCTTAATGGATACATATCTTGTTGGGTACCATATAGCGTGAAAAATCATGAAGGGTATAGAATAAGCTAGTTCGTCCCTTTATTAATCGCTCACCTGCATGTACTGAAATATTCTCTCTTTTTAAGACTTCGTTTGAATGATGAGACATTAATATATGATAGTTTTTTTATGATTTTATTGTAATTATTTGTATTTTTAGATGCATGGTGTATAATTTTTTTATGATTATTGTATGATTCAAAAGTTATAATTTTTATAATTTTTTCAAACTAACCAATTTGTGGTTTAAGGGTCTAATATGTATGGATGATTTTGTTATCATTTATAACTATTTTTCTTTTTCTTTAATTTTTTATCTAATTATATATACACACACACGTATATACATACAGGTATTGTCACTTAATTTTCTTTTTATAAAATTTGTTTATTTTATTATATATATACATAATATATATAATTATATATATACATGTAAATATTTAATTATATGCATACATATATCTATATATTTAATTATATATATATAGATATACATTTATATATTTGCATATATATATATATATTTAATTATATATATTTGCATGTATCTGTATATTCAATTATGTATATACATATATAATGTATTTAATTACATATATACATGTATATATTTAATTATATATCTACATATATAATATATATTATTTAATTATAAATATATTTTTTATCTTTTATTTTTATTTTTTATTTGTTATTATATACAATAAAATATCGGTGAAGTAATTTGATTAAAATATACAATTATATTATTATGTTAATTCAAACAAATATAGATGTTATTACTGTATATTAATATATAATTTTTTTAAAATGGTATAACTTGAACATTATTGTAATTTGTATTTAGTATATAATATTGTATATTAGTGAATCATCATGAAAGTCATCTAAATAAAACTTAAGTATATTGTAATATTTGGGTTGGAAAATTAGTTTGGGATAGTTTTTGTTGTTTATAAAAAATTTATATAAATGATTAATTTATTTTATTTTAAATTAGTTTTATTGAATTTTTTAGAAAAAAAATAAATTAAGGACGAAATTGAAAATAATTTTAAGAAAAATTGGTAAAATTTTAAATATGGTGAGTATTTTTAAAGAAAATTGAAAACAGGGAGTAAAATAACATAAATAAAAAATTCGCCTACGTGGGACGACTCAGTTAGCAATCCGAGCGAAATAGAGCACGTCGCGTAGCAGGTAGACCGACATCGGCACCACGTGGGAAGCCACGCGAGCGATCCGCATGTCTGGTGATCTGATGGTCCAGACTTCATCCCGCGCGCATGAATAATAAAGATGCATTTTTTTTACACGCGATCAAACGGACGAGATGGATCGTGATGGACGGTCCGAATTCGCTCACACTATTAGCCTAAACAGAAAATCATCGAATGGTCCTCCTTGCCCTATGTCAACCTAAACGGACGGCTTGGATTGAAGAGGAAATGAGTATTTAAACCTCTTTTCGCAGAAGAACCTAACTCTAGTCACCAGCCCTCGCCAAATAAGAATAACCAGACATTGGAGAAGAAGGTCGAACCCCAGCTGCCATTGCATCGGAGCTACCGCCGACTACCAAAAAAGGTAAAATTTTCTCATCTCTGCTTAGAATTCAATTCAGAGACTCCCTGTGGCCATATTGGAGCAAAATGGATGGTGGGTGAGCTGAAAATTATGGGTAAAGTTCGGCGGAGCCGCCACAGCCAAAACCCAAAACCCTCTCTGATGACTCCCTTTCCCTTTCCTGTTTCACACGATTCTTTGACCATTGTGTTCATCGTCCTTTTCTATGCAGGCTAGCCGAAGAAGAAACCTCAGCCGCGAAGGAGAACTGGTGGAGCCGTCGCACCCCGAGAACCCCGCAGTAGGTTTGGTTTTTTGATTCTTCTGGCTAATCAATGCTTCCTAATGTATTTTTTCACAAAGATACATGTAACACTAGTCAAAACTGGCGAAGTCTAGGTGAATTGCCGCCGTGGGTGGCGGAGACAGTGCCGGAGCACAGCGATGGTGTCATGCCAGAACCCTAAAATTGTTTCGAAAAAGGTTTTCAACATTAATTTTTAGTTTTTGGGGTATTTTTAAGTACGTAACTAGTATTTTAATTTTTGCAGAGAAATTAAGAAACCCGAGCCCATCAGAGGCGTAGTGGTAACACAGTGTTTCGAATACCAATTCAGGTAGATCTATCACCTATCCTGTACGATAATGTGGGTTTAATAAATCGGTAATCTTGTGTTTGTAAAAATTAAAAAAATCCTAATAATAATTAAAGGGAACTAGTGGACCCGGAAAATTGGTTAGTGTACGATTGCCCTAAGTCGTCTATATGTCTATTTATTTTTCTATACTGCATAAATTACTCATTGTTATGTCGTATGATTTAAATTATTATATTTAATTGCTTCTTTGTTATTGATTGTCTGATTGTAATTTTTATTTGATTGACTGATTTGAAATAGAGACTGTAATTACGTTTCTTAATTGTTAAGGTATAAAAAATGCAATATTTGCTTAAATGTAGTTTGATTTATCAGTAAATATAAAATTAGATGTTAGTAGGCGATTGGTGATTGTTTGTTGATGGGGATCAATATATGAAATGCTTACTGAGTACCCTGGGAAAGGGTGGACGGATCCGGTACATAGGAAAAACCCTACCATAGATAATACCTTAGCCAGACGAGACTAAGGGTTCCCATACCGGAAGGATTGAGAGATATAGTTCAATCTCATACCGTACGGGGTATCGATGCGATGGTGTATTTGACACCTATTACTGGACAGGGTATCGAGGCGATGGTATATTTGACACCTATTACTAGACGGGATATAGGACGACCGAGTAAATTGGCAAATCTAGATATTGGGTTCACGAGTAGAGAGATATCCTTATAGACTTCCAGGAGTCTCAACAAGCAGGTAAAGGGGGAGAATGACCGACTTTATTCACTTGTACATGAAATTATAAATGTTATATAGGTATTTGTGTTATAGGTTGGTTTTGGAAAATTCGTAACAGTAAGTATAGAAATAATGTTTTGATATTAAATAAATTTACTTAAATTAAAAGTTTCATTAGTTGTTTTACGATTTTTACCAACCTTTATTTTCCATATTAGTGATCAATATGATATTTTTACTGAGTTAGTATACCTCACTCTTCTATTAACCATTTCAGATCAAGAGAACCAATATCTACATTGTAATATCCTTAATTAATTAATTTTAATGTAATTACAATTTATATATAAATATATATTTTTTAGTTTTTTAATTTTATTTTAATGTAAAAATGAAGAAAATTAATTTGAGGATGAAATTGAAACTAATTTTAAGAAAAATGGGTAAAAATTTGGGTTATATAGGTGTTTTTGAAAAAAAAAATCAGAAACCGGGCATCAAAATGCAATTTAAGGAAATTGTGCCACGTAGAACGCCCAGTCAGCAGCCCTGACAAACTGGTGCGCACTGCATGGTAAGGCACGTAGACGCGGTGCCACAGGGGAGGCCACACTGGCGATCCGTGTGCCCGCGATTGGACAGTCTGTATGTGTTCCCGCGCGCACGGTCGGTCCGAATCCGTTCCCCCTTTAAACGCGATTGGACAGCCCAGATCAAATAGCGATGAATGGTCCAGATTCACTCTCTATTTAACGCGATTGGACGGTCAAGAACAAATACGATGGACGGCTCAGATTAAAAAGAGACAGATATAAATAACCCTCTTAATATCAAACCCTAACCCTAGCCGCCAGACCCCCCGCCGGAGAAGAAGAGCCAGTCGTTGGGAGGAGATCCGACCGCCGCCTGTCGCCGCGTTGAAACCAATTCCGACTGCTAAAAGATGTAAAAGTTTTTTCAATTGCTCGAAATTCAATTTTGAACACCCCCATGGCCAAATCAAAGCAAAAGAATCGGCGAATGAGATGAAAATCGCGGGTAAAGCCTGCGGCGCCGCCGCGGGAAAGGAAAAAATTGCCTCCGATGAGGTCCTTCCTGATTCCCGTTTCATGTAATTTTTTTTGCCATTGTAATCACCATTACTTTTCCTACAGGTTGACCGAAACAAAACACCCAACCGCGAAGGTGAGCTGGCAGAGCCACTGCACCGAAGAACCTCGCCATCGGTAAGCTTCGATATTTTGATTTTTTTAGTCAATCGAGGCCTCTTAACGTGTTTTCTCACATGAATTGATATAAAAGCGGCCGAAATCGGTCCAAAACGGCCGAAAACAGCCAACCCAAGGTAAATCGCTACCGCGAGCAGCGGTGCCGTTGCTAGAGCACGATGGAGCCGCCGTGCCAGAATTCTGAAATTGGCTAAAAAGAGTTTCTAACACTGATTTTGGATTTTCTGGGATTTTTCTAGGTATTTGAAATGTGTTTTAATCCCCGAAGACGAATTAAGGGAACTTGGGGACCGCTAGTAGGTGCAATAAAAAACTTAGTACTCGGACACCAATTCGAGCAAGAATCTCTCACCTTATTACCTGTTATGGAATTGAAATTTAATTAATAATAATACAGTATTTTGTGTAATTTAGAAAATATTCGTAATTAATTATAAGTTACTAATGGAGCCAGAACCGGTTACTTATTACTGTTGCTATGTTTAACTGATTGCCTTATTTTACAGTTTCTGAATGGATGATAATACATTGAAATTGGTATGATGATGCAATTGTATTTTCTTGATGCATGGATATCTTGTTTTATGTGATTACGGTTAAATTAGATAGCTGAAAATTAAAGGTAAACAGAAAATTGTTTGATTA